ATTTAATTTTCAGCCTATTTCCTCTTTTGTCTGCTTGTCCCACTCCACAATCCCTGTTCAGGCCTTTTTTTCTAGTTGGAAACAGTTCAGGGCCGGCTGTGGCCATTTGGTTTTAATTGGAAACTATCTTTAAGTTTCGAGGAGATCTGTGTGCATGCATAGTAGAACCCTCTGAGGGTGGGGCTGGGGTGCCCACTAGCTCAGGCACCCCTATAGTAACCAAAATGGAGGTGCACAGACAACAAGGGACCAATGAACAGATACCAAAAAAATGTCCACACCTTTATCTCAGTGGTTCTGCCAGGCATCTGTGGCCGCTCTGATCCTTCCCCCGCGTGGTCTCACCCAATATGGCAGCTTCTGGAGCAGCCGAACATCCCGGACTAGAAGGCAGTTGATTTCTTGCTTCTGCCACAAATTCTCCAAGCTGTGAGCCTTCCAACCTTCTAAATATTCCTTCATATGTGGTTCAGAGTTCTGGGACCCAAGCCTGCTTGGTCAGGAATTCTGTGTTGTTGTTGGCAGAGCTCTTTACTATAAGTCCACCCAATCCACCATCTTGTTTGTTCTCCCAGAGCATTTTAATTTGATGTGAACACCTTGGCCTCAGCAAGCTTTGAGCTTAAGGGTGCCAAAAATGTTGTACAAAGATCTGAAAGAGCTGAATTTTCCATCAGTATCTCAAGCAAGATTAAAGCCAATGAAGGTGGTTTTGTGAAATAAAATATAATCAGAGACAAGTCTTGGATTTATCAATATGACTCAGAAAGCAAAGTCCAATCAAAACTGCAGCTTCTGAGGGAATCTGCTGGTTCAGTTAAATTCAAGGCAGAGAAATCAGTTCAGGTGGTTACATGAAAACTTCAGAAGAAGAAAAAAAAAAAAATTCAGAAGAATTAGGAGACAGAATGGAAATGTGAAGCAAGATTCTGACTCATAGTGACGCTGCAGTTTCCAAGGCTATAAATCTTTTAACAGAGGAAAAAGCCTCATTTGTCTTCTGCGGCATAGCTGTTAGTCTCAAACTTCTGGCCTTGAAGTTAGCAGCCTGACTCATAGCCACTATGCTACCGGAGCTCCTTGAAGTGCAGGGAGTAAGTGGGATAAGTGATGTTACATTGTGGGGATTACAATCAATGACATAAAACAAAATGTGTTGAATGGAAAACTGATTTGCTCTGTAAACGTTCACCCAATTCACAATAAAAAACAAAGGGCTATGGTGACTATTTTTTTATTCCAAAGGGGGTAATCTTGATGGATTTTTCTTAAAGGACACAATAATCAAGGGAACTTATTAAGAATTTTTAAATTGAAAACTATATTGGTGAGGAAACGGCCAGGGAAGTTGCACTGACGAATTTCTTTCCATCATGACAAAGCACCTGCACATTCTTCCAGGGTAGCAAAATTGTTGGAAATTTTTACCCCAGCACCCTACAACCCTGATCTTGTTCCTTTTTAAACATTGTGGTTCCCCAAACTCTAAGAAAATGGATAAGGCATATAATTTTGAGACACTGTTGTTTTGAAGTGATCTAATCAGAGTGTAAAATGCTTTCGGGAAAGGAGAGGTGGGAGCACCACTTTCAGAAGCATACAGACCTAGATATGGCAGGGAGGATATGGCAAAAATCAATAGCTTCACATCGTTATTTAAGGTTCCTGTAATTTTATAGCAATACTTCTTGACTTGCCTTTGTAGAAGAATAGGCTTATACATAAATTTCTGAATTTTGCAGACATGTACTGAATGAGGTCTTCAAAGTTTAAAAGACTCATTTACTCTATCAAGTTCTAACTTTTTCTGTTTTACAAAACTTCTTGACAGTATCTTTTTCTTCAGAGAAACAAGTGATTCTCTATACATTCTTCTGTTATTTTCGTACTTCAAAGACAAAACAGTACTCTAGAACCAGCTCATCTTACTTCACTAATATGAAATGTCTTCAAAATTCTAATATATACAGAGAAATGGCTCCACAATGGGGGGGGGGGGGAATCACACAATTGTATTGAAAAAGGAGATCATTTCTCAGAGCAACAGGGCTCTACTGCTACCTGATCTTGTCTCCTGTCTTTTGGGAATTTCTTTGTAAATCAAGCCAGTGGTGCCATTGCCATGTCAAAGGAAACATGAAGCCAGAACAGAAACCCTCACTAGAAGGGCATGAATGAGAACAATTACTAGAGACCAGCTACCAAGTTCAGGCTGGACCCTAGGCTGCTGACAACATAGCCCAAGGTCAGGTCTCAAAGGGTAGTTGTCACTCCAGAGAGTAGAGGAACTGACTTATACTATCCAGCTCACTGGAGACTAGCAAGCAAGATGCCAATATGTCTATTTGTAAATCTAGACATTTCATTCCTGAGACTCGAATACTCATATATGCTACCAAGTATCTTTTATAGCTTCCAAAAACTATTGAGCTATACAAGTCAGTTAGCTCATCTAAAAAAGAGCGCTGGTGGCACATCGGTTAAGTACATTCAATTGCTAATTGAAAGGTTAGTGTTTCACACCTGCCCAATGGATCCGTAACAGAAAGACCTGGTGAGTATCTCTCCCATAAAGATTCTATTAGACCCTCTGAAAGCCTATGGGATAGGTAGTTCTCCTCTGTCACATACGTCAGAATTGACTCAGTACAGCCAACAACATTGTTTAAAAAGGGGGCTTTATTTCATGAAATCCCAGCAGAGAAGTGGGCTGTTTTGGCAAACTGACTTACTCATGGGGTAAAATGGGTATAATGAACGACCTACTCCTCAAACTAGGAGCTCTGGTAGTGTAGTGGTTACGAATCAGGGGCTGCTAACCTCAGGGACAGCAGTTCAAAACTACCAGCTGTTTCGCAGGAGAACAATTGAGGCTTTCTGCTCCAGTAAAGATTTACAGCCTCACAAACCCTATGCAAGGTCTCTATGAGTCAGAACCAACTCCACAGCACATAACAATAACAACTTCTCCTCAAACTGTCTCTATTTCCACAAGTGTCACAGTGTTTGTATTCTTAAGTGCCAACCCTCTCAGTGACTGCATAAAGAGTGAAAATTAATTCAGAGTGAATTCTCCTTCCTCAAGATTCTATGGGACCATTACTTCTGTTTATCACACTATTCTTAAAACAGATTATAATAGAAATCTCTTGACAGAAAAACTAGTTAAAGAATGTCTGGCTTTGATTCAGGAGGTTGAATGAAATTGAAGTTGTGTTTCTGAACTTAAACCTCAGAGCTTTAAGTAATTAAAAAAAAAAAAGGGTGCATGAATCTCAAACTACAAAATGGAAACAATTCAACTATAGAACTCAAACAGAATGACAGAATGTTGAAAATATTAATAGCTAATCGGTAAGTCTTAAAGTTTTCACTAATATTTGTGAAAAATCTATGAACAGCTATTAGGTTATTTGAACACAGCCAGAGTGAAACCTGTAACACAAAAACTAGGGATTAAACTAAACCATGAACCGCTGTTAAAAAAAAAGACCACATACACATAAAATAGGATGATATACTTTAATCTGGTTGACATGAGGGAGATGGGAGAACATGAAAGGAATTTAGTTTTATCTCTGTCTTATGCATAACCAGATGCTCTTTCCAAAAGTATACTGTGCTTTTAAAAACTACATTTTATCCAGGATATTTTAGGAAACCATACTATGTGTACTCCAGGAAATAAACTATTTCAGAATAGGAAAATCATTATGGGCCACAGAAGATTAAAACAACAACAAAAGAAAATAAGCACCAAAGGTCTTGGACAGTTCTAAGGTGAATATATCAGCAGAAATAGTATAAATGCTCTTGACTGGCTGCTATGGAAACATCCTAATGAGGGCTGATACTTGGTCCGTATCATCATTTTTAAAAACATGTTTCTTTGGAAAATGGCAATATTGGTAGAAAGTGAAGTTTTCCTTCTAGACACCCAGCTTATTAGCTTGGGTGAGAACAACTTTGAGAACAGGCATGAAAGCCGAAGTCTCACTGAAGTTGCTGGTGCTGACTATGTGGGTATGGATGGTCAATCCTTCTGCGTAGTTTCGCGTTTCAATGCTCCTCGCAATGTTGTGTAAACCACTGATGATTGTTGGTGACAGCTGAAATGAAGGTAGAACCAAGAGAAATCATTTAGAGACAATTCCTCATGAAAAACATCTATAAACATTAAGCCCATATATCCAAAAGGAGCTTATAATAAATAGTATATAAAATATATAAACCTTCTAGCACTTCTAGAAATAATTTCCAAGACTAATATTTAAGTTATAAAATAAACCACGACAAAATTATTTATGAATTATACATATGAGAGGGTTTCATAAGTTCCTGGAAAAACTTCCTATCTTTCCATTTCATTTTTCAACAAAATTTTTGAAGCCCCTCTCTCCCTCATAGATACATACGGTATTTTCCTACTTTAGAAAGGAAGTCAGATTTCTTCACCTTGAGCTGACATGCTTATGTGTCCAATTAAAAAGCTTTAATTCTTCAGTTACTTTAGGTATATTCTCACATCTTTTACAATTTTCTTTATGCACATGAAGGAAATTAAAGACTTTTAATTATAACCTAGTGTGGTTCTGTGGGATAAGCACTGGACTACTAACCGAAAGTACGGAGGTTCAAATGAACCAGCTGCTCCTCAGCAACCCTATACAGGGTTGGTATGAGCTGGAACCAACTCAATGACACTTAACAACAAAACTCAATCACATCTTAAAGTAGGGTCCAATTTGTGCTACAGACTTTAAACTTCAGGTCTACTTTCATCTAGAAGGGCAAAAGTCCTCATCATGTATTCAACTCATCAATTCTTAAGGGCATTTTATGATTCTGTCAACTCCAAAAACATAAAACTTGTAGTTCGCTCCCCCACCCCACCCCCATGTCATTGCTTAGAATACACATAGCTATACTTTTGAGAGAGGACTTTATTTTCAATTAACAGGCCACACCACTTTCACTGTTTCTACCAACTTTCACTGGTTTGGTTCTCATGAGAGAAATGGTTATCTTCATCTGATAGAATTCGGTGTGGGGAATGGAGTAAAGTAATATTGAAACATAAAAATAAAATCTTTGTCTCTCTTATCCCAGTATTTTGATTAAGTAAACCATTCTAGAAATGGTGAGTTGGGGGCAAAGGACAGACTCCTTGCTGCTGGCTCTCTTCACAGTTACAGTACGTTAACCTGTTCATCTTGTGGCTACATTTGGCTTCACCTTTGTGTAACAGCTATTATAGAAGAAAAGGATCAGGAATTTTAGATTATGAGACAGATCATATATTTTGTCTATTCCCATTATTTGATTTCTTCAGTGAAGAGACATATAAAACATATAAAAGAAGGTCAATTACTTTAGCACCAATACAGGCCAGTTTTTATTTTCATTTGTAATGAAAAAGGTTAAAATTATACCCTCAACATTATGAAAGCAATACCATTTATGATAGCCGCCCAAAGGATGAAATATCTAGGAATAAATGTAACCAGAGAAACAAAGGCCCTATATGAAGGAAACTACAAAACACTACTACAATAAACCAAAAGACTTACAAAAGTAGAAGAATGTACCAGGCTCCTGGATAGGAAGACTTAACATTGTGAAAATACCACTACTGCCCAAAACAATTTATTTACACATATAATGCAATCCCATTCCAGATTCTAACAACATTCTTCAAAGAGATGGAAAACACTATTACAAAATTTACATGGAAAGGAAAGTGACCCAGGATAAGCAAAGCACTGCTTAAGAAGAATAAGGTTGGAAACCTCTCACTCCCTGATTTCAAACTTTATTACATGGCTACAGTGGTAAAAACAGCCTGGTACTGGTACAATGAAAGACACATTGCTCAATGGAACAGAATTGAGAATCCAGAAATTAACCCATCCACATACAGCCAACTGTTTTCGACAAAGTGACTCTAAATATATCGCATGGGGAGGTGACAGTCTCTTCAACAGATAGTGCTGGCAGAACTGGAAAGCAATATGCAAAAAACTGAAATAAAACCTTTACCTCACACCTTATACAAACATCAACTCATCATGGATTAAACACCTAAATGTGAATCCCAGAATTATAAAGATCATCAATGAAAAAATAGGGAAATTTGTGAGGGCTCTAATAAATGGCATATACAGTCTACCAAACATTTGAAAATTACAAACAAAAGTAGACAAAATAGATAATTGGGACATACTAAAAATTAAAAACTTATATGTGCATCAAGACTTCACCAAAACAGTAAAAAGGGAACCTACAAAATGGGAAAAAATCTTTTACAACGTCATATCGGACAAGTGAACCATTTTTAAAATACAGAGGAAACTACAACACCTCTACAAGAAAAAGACAAATAATCCAATTAAAAAATGGGCACAGGGCATGAACAGACACTTCACTAAGGAGGAGATCCAGGCAGTCAACAAACATGAAGAAATGTTCACAATCACTAGGAATTATGTTATGTGCCGTGGAGTCAGTTCTGACTCATAGTGACCCTGTACAGGATTTCCGAGGCTATAAATCTTTACGGGAGCAGAAAGCCTCATCTTTCTCCCACGGAATAGCTGGTAGTTTCGAACTGCTGACCTTAAGGTTCGCAACCCGATTTGTAACCACTACACTACCAGAGATATCATCTGACACCAGGAATAACAGCAAAGATCAAAAAAGTAGAGGACAATAAATGCTGGTGAGGATGTGGAGAGACTGGAATGCTCCTGCACTGCTGGTGGGATTGCAAAATGGTCCAACCTCTCTGGAAAGCAATATGGTGCTTCCTCAGAAGGCTGGAGAAATACTTTATGATCCAGCAATTCCTCTACTTGGTATTTACACACAAGAAATACGAGCCATAAGGAGAACAAACAAGATAGTGGATTGGGTTGAAGTGCAGTGAAGAGCTCCTTCAGCAACAACACAGAATACAGGACCAAGAACTCTAAGCCACATATAAAGGAATATTTAGAAGGTTGGAAGGCTTACAGCTAGGGGAAACTGTAGCAGAAGCAAGAAATCCAGTGCTTTCTAATTCAAAACACTCAGCTGCTTCCGGAGCCGTCATCTTGGGTGAGACAAAACGGGGGAAGGATCAGAACCACCATGGACACCTGACAGAACTGTGGAGATAAAGGTGTGCACATTCTTTTTTGCAGTATCTGTTCACTGGTCTCTCACTCTCTGTGCACATCCATTCTGGTGACAAGAGGGGGTGCCTGAGCAAGTGGACACCCCACCACCACCCCCAGAGGGTTCTACTACACATGCACACAGATCTGCTCGAAATTTAAAGTGACAGTTTCCACTTAAAACCAAAGGGCCACAGCTGGCCCTGAACTGTTTATCATGAGGAAAAAGGCCTGAACAGGGAATGTGGAGTGCGAAAGGCAACTAAAAAAGAAATAGGCCAAAAATTAAATCCTGAGTTACATTACATCGACCAACAGTGGCATCTTGAAATTTCTCAGGAAAAAGAGTGAAAAGGGAAGACCATCTCCTGATCACATCTACTTGGAGGCAATCAGAAAGCATAAAAAGTACCAAAATACACACTCATCTAAGTAGTAAGGCCACAGATAACTCCTGAAGATGCCCAAAAAACAGGAGCAGATGACCTGATCTGCACATGTACATAAACAAGATAAAGTGACTGAAGCAAATGAGCTGGAAATAGAACTATACTCCATACTGGAAAATGGGCAGGCTTTGGAAATGCCTGAGAAGGAATTCCTAAAAATGATTATAAAATGTATCAAAACACTGTATAATGGAGCTGAGAAAAATAAGGAAGAAGTCAAGAAAGCGCAGCAGGAACAATCAAACAAGATAGATACATCATTGGAAACAATTCAAAACCTACAGAAAGAAGTCCAAACGATTAATAACATAATATCAGAAATGGACAATACACTGAAAGGGCAAAGGTGTAGAACTGAAGAAAAAGAAACCAGAACTAGTGAGCTAGAAGATAAATCTCTCAACACTACTACGACAGAAGAACAAATATTAGAAAGGTTAAAAAAAATCTGAAGAAGGCCTAAGATTCATGTTGGATAACATCAAGAGGAATAACACAAGAATTATTGGCATTCCAGAACAGGAACAATCACACAAGCTCACAAGGAGATAGATGAAGAGATTCTGGAAGTAACCTTTCCTAACATCCTGAAAAGTGAAAAGATAAGCATTCACGAACCTCAACGAACCCCAAGATGGATAGACCCTAAAAGACAATCACCAAGACATATAATAATCAAGCTCTCCAAAATCAAAAGATAAGGACAGGATCTTGAAATCAGCTAGGGAAAAGAGAAGTATAACATACAAAGGCAAGCAAATCAGATTAAGCTCAGATTTCTCAACAGAAACCATGCAGGCAAGAAGGCAATGGGGAGAGA